CCAGGATCAGTTTCAAAACAGAAAGATGGAATGTCTGTAGGAGACCCTTGTTTGAGTCTCCGGCACTTTTCGCACCAATCCTACCTAGGAAAAAAAGAGTCAATAATAGCTCTGAACCCTACTTGATCTAACAAGAAACAATATGGATTTGGTAACATAGAATGAGTAGCCAAAGCCAAGAAAATAAAGTGTGTCATGGGTTTGGTGAAGGTCAGAGTGGGTGGCAAAATGGTGAGAAAAAGGTCTTGAAGAAAAAGGATGGTAGTTTGAAAGGATGTCACAATAAGAAGTGTTCAGCTTGTGATGAACAGATTGAGACAAAAGGCAGAAGCAAAGGCAGGAAGAAATTAAGATGGCAGACCACCAAATCTGTTCATCTAAGAGGCCTTAAAAGGAATCCTTCTGAAAGGAGACCGAAAAATCACACAATTTTATTGCTTTTTAATTCAGCACCAGTCTAAACATTATCATAATGCACAACTGAATTAATATTTGGAATTGTACTCCCTAAAAACTGAAATAAATGATTTAGTGTTTTTAACTCTATCTGATGCAGACAGGAAAATTTACAACAGCAAAGTCACTCATCACTAAAGAACACTTGCAGGTGTAAAGAAAGTATTCTTTAGGGAAGATGTGCTTAGAAGTATGTTTCAGGAGACTGGTAATCTCAGCACATATGCACAAGATCAAGTGGAACCAAAATCCACCAGGTACTAGAATTTAATTTCTATTCTATATAATTCCTCTCTATAGATATATACATATTCATATACACAGAAGAATATATGTATATATATTTCTGGTCATACCAAACCTGCAGGGAATTAGTAACTCCACTGAACTAAGCTGATGTGAAGATATAAAAAAAAAAGTGCAAAGGAGAGAAGAACCATGTCCAGAGTCTTTCAAACACCAATTATTTGACAGCTAATCAGTGCCTGAAAAAGGCACTGAACTAAGGCCCTTCTAAGGCAATACTGTGAACAATTTCACAATGTTAAAAGATGAACAAAAGTATACGCCTCTGACAGATTTCACAAAACTGCCCATTGAAGACAAGAAAAACCAGATGTATGTATGACTCCTGAAAGGACATTTCAAAGCATAGTAAATGAAGAAAAAAATGTAGTTTTCCATTCCCTTGTCCAAACTGATGCACTTGTTGGCAGCTGGGTGCTTTTTTCTGTTGAGCTGAAGCATCTGTGCAAAAAACGACTCCTGAATGAAGGCTGCTTGGCACTTGCCAGCACACAGCTTTTTTCAGCTGGCTATGATTTTGCCCACAAAGCATTACACAGTTGAAGTTTTCCCTGCTGGAAGTCTGTGTCAGGATAGGTTATTACATTCTAAAACAGTTCCTCTAGAAACAGGCATTTCTGAAAACCAGGCTCAGGGTTTTACATTATTTACATGATTCTGCCCTTTTAAAACAATCGTCCAATTACTTTGTTAAAAAGTTGTGACACAACACTCGGAGCTGGGCTTTGAAATTCGGTAGGGCTGTCACTCCAGAAGTCACCTTTTGCCATTAGCTGTGTGTCTGCAGAGGGGTGTGCAGTGTCCATCTCACTCCTTGGCCGCCCCACGCAGACCTGTCTCTGCTGAGCATCAGAGCCAGCGGGGCAGGAGCAGAGAGCAGCGGGGGCACTCCGCGTGTGTGCGTGCTCTGCACGGCCCGCCGGCAGCACCAGGGCAGGGATGAACCCCTGATCAGTGTGCTGGCAGGGCTGTGTGCGCTGCGGGCATGGCAGCCCGGGGAATCAGCCCGGCACAGCCCCTCCTGTCCCCGGCTCGCCGCGCCACCAGCAGCGCTGTCACCGCCGGCAGCGAGAGCGGAGCCGGCACCAGAACCGCAGCCTGCGGGGACGAACAGGGTCAGCGGCTGAAAACCCCGCAGGGATGCGAGGAGCAGGGCAGGAAGGACAGAGCGGAGCCAGTGGCAGTGTGGGGAGGTGACGAGCGGCGAAAGCACAGACTGCAGGAGGAACAAAGCACACTGGGGTGCAGAGAACAGGGAGAGAAGGGATCAAAAAGGAGGAGACAGGTACAGGAGCCAAAGATGAGCATCACCTTCCCCAAGGCACCTGGAGCCGATATCTAAGCATCAACACTGCCGGCAAGTAACAGCAAATCCTCTGGCAGAGCATCTTTATCTGCCTTTGCTTTCCCCTCACTCCCTGTGGCAAGCGTCCCCCACCTTCTCCTTCAGCCTTCTGACATAAAAATACCAGTGCTGCTGAAGTGAGTCTTACGGGGGGAATGGTTTTGTGTCTGCTTTTAGGAATAACACTAGAAATTTACATCCTAAATTTGCACTCGACTGCGTGTAAGAAGCTGTTGTTTTTCTGTGCCTCTGGTTTGTTTTTGAAGGCAGCCAAAGCTTCCAGAAGCCCTGAGCTTACCTGCAGCTGACAGAGCAAATGAAGCAGAGTGAGACAGAAAGCTGCCTCCCACTGCTCCTCCCTTTCTTAGGAATGTGGCACATGAATCGTGGTGCTGCCCTCTCCTTGACAGGGAGTATGCATGGAACAGGAACCTTCCCAAGCTCACGAACCTGGAAGCAAGAGTCAGGCAGCCTGGACAGAAAATATGTAATTTTCAACTTCGGGTTTCTTCCTGTAAAGTCCTACATGGAGCAGGAAATTCACCAACTCCACATACCAGAAGGGAAAAAATACAAACCCCAACCAAAACAAAAACACACAACTGCCTCAACCAAACCAGAACTAGCATACAAACTAAAAATAAAATTCTCTGTCCCATACTGAAACTTTACATCAAATCTGAAGCCTTAATCTGCCATCTGCTCAGCTTTCTTTTCACTGAAAAGCTTCCTCCAGCTACTGGTTAAGCAGCAGTCAGCCCTGGAGCTTAAGTAGTGATGATTACTGCACCAAAGGATGGTCCCAGTTCAAGTCATGAAGAAGCCAGCAATTACAAATACTTAATCTAATTTTTAGTTTTTCCACTTAAATGCACATCAGAAAGTTAATTTTCAAATTGCCTTTGGAAACAAAAGTAATAAAAAGTCCACCAGTCCAGAGTTAGGAGTGGTGGGATGGAGGCTGTAGCTACAAGTTCAATGCATACCATATAAAAGGGTGATGATCCTTGCTCTTGTAGATCACATGCCACTTTCATCCCCAAGCTGCACATATGTAGGGACAGGATAACCATGTACTACCCAATCCGTTGGAAAGCTGGCATTTTTCAAGTGTTCTACTTCCGTGACCTAAATCGTATCTCTCTGATGTACTTTTGGCTACAATAAGAAATCCTGCTGAGGAACTCCATCCCAAGAATGCACTCTCATTGAGTACATCACTAAGCTAATCCCTCCTCAGCAGGGAGACAATGGAATAGACAATCCATAGATCCCTCTGAGCTGCAACAACTAATCCATTGTACTGGTATAGTACAGGGATAGTACAGGATAGTAGAAAAGACCATATAATATTGCCAAAAGCAGGCACTTCCCCAAGTCCTTAAGATGCATTAATTCCACACAGAAGGTGCAACAATCACTACAGACAAAACCAAAGACAATAAAAATGGGTAGGATGGGGGAAAAGATCTGCTGGCCAAATACCAAAAGGAGCATAACCACAGCCCTGTAAGAATAACACTGTGGCCCACAGCCAAACCCAGAATGCCACATAAGGCAACTTTTTTTGACACAGCCACAAGACATGTATGTAATTTCAAAAGTTCTTCTAACATCCCTGGAGAGCACAAGTAAAATGCTTTTACACTTCACAAACACACCATCCAATCTTTTTCGCTTCCCAAAGCTCTGTTTTGCTGAAACAGTAGCAAGGAAGTATTTCAGTTTCGAGTACACCCACAGGATGAGATCACAGCATGGGTGACATGAACTCTAATCCAGCCCATGTCATGAAAATGTCACAGCACCACTGCTGGCCCAAGCTGCAGCCTACGAGCACAAATTCTGAGGCCTCCAGGAATGCAAGATGCACTATGTTGTGCATTGAACTTTCCTTGATCCCTTCTTTCTTTACCTCAGGCCCCACCAGATGACAGGCAAAAGATCACTGCAGTGGCACATTTTCCTGTGCAAGCCCTCATCTGAGAATCCCTGGCTACTGCACTACTACTAAATTGCAGCTAACACCAAATAGCAATGTCTCCTCCGTCTCCAGATGTGCTGCAAGCAATGGCCTTGTTCCCCACAGATAAGTTATCTGTGTTCACACACCAAATGTCTCAAGGAGGAGCAGCCAAAATATAGGAGGCTAAACTCTCCCAGAGTCATCAAAAGTGATACAGAAAGGAACGGCATGTAAGTTAAAACAACCAGCCCAAGTCTACTGTTTTAAAGATGCATAGAACTTGCTTAAGCCTCATGGGATTTTGAAGAATTCACTTCATGTGTGTTTTTCAAATCAAAGGCTTTGTGAAAAGTAATTTTTAGCATCTCACACCAACATTCTACCAAAATGGTCTTAATGTAAATTAGAATAAGAGTCCCAGTCTCCATCACACCAACAGAATGATTCTTTCATCTCAGATCTTCAGCTTTAGAAGTTGACCAGCTGCTGGCAGGTTTCTGCCTAACATTTGAACACAAAGGAAAAAGTCACAGGAGTCTGGATACATAATACCCAATTCATTAATTCCCAAGCCATTTCAGAAGCCAAAACCTCAAGTTCCTTGAAGAAGGTGGATTTTTGCTTAGCTTGCTGTCTTTTCAAAGTCATGGAAAGACATTTGGCACCCAGAATTCCATAAAACGAGACATTTCTTGTTTTCTCTTTAACAGGAGTAAATTGAAGGCTTTTAAGTGTCAAAGTGGTATGCATGAAGCTCTACTTGGCACCTTCCAAAATCAACAGAACTCTTTTACCACCAATACAGAAAGGGATGCTCATCAACAGCTTGTCACTGTGCTGCAGAAACTTAACACAAGGAATGAAAGATGGGTTAGGCGATTTTGGCTGACAGACTCCGTGACAATAACTCTAAAAGAACAGCAAAGATCAGTTCAGGACAAAACATACTTTATTGTACTGTAATGTCAGAGGTACAAGAAAAGTACTGCAGAGAACCATGCTAATGGTGCTTCCAGGGTCTGTGAAGGACAGAAGTACAAGATAATGGGGTACTACTGTACTCAGTGCAAAAACTGATTAATTTGAGGCACAAGTACACTATTGTTTAAGCAGCTTGATTCAAGCACAGCTCTGGTATGTGATCTACTCTGTTTTCTTTCTATGTGACATTTCTAGAACAAAGCTACCTTTACATGAAAGAGGCAGTAGATTCAAGTCAGGGGTGTCCAACTTGCCACTTGGCAACCAAAAAAAAAATTAAGAAAAATACTCTGCATAGTCACCCTCCACATCTTGGTTTCAGATATGGAGCTGTGGCTAGAGAAGAAAAGTTACTCTGAAAGGTCAGAACCCAGACCCATTTAGCTGGGTGGGGTTCTCCCCTTTTCCTGCGTCTGTGGGTAACTTAATTCACATTGACCACAATTTATCCAATAAGGAAAAAAACCAGAACCAACTCATATCTTGGATAAGAAATAATACATATCTAACATTCAAATAAATTTCAGCCCTTGAGATCCTAGCTTATGGCTTAAGACACAATGAAATTTTTTGGGCACCCTTGAGTTAAGTTAATGAAGAGCATTTTTGCTAAAAAAGGCAAGCAAGATCACTGTTTTAAACAGAGCTGACCTCTACAAGAACAAAGCAGGAATCCAAGTCACTAGTTACTGCTAGGCTGACATGTACTGCTGCCCAGAAAGATAAAAACATAACATCACAATGAAAACGTTCAACAAAGTTGAAAGATAAAGGTTTCAACACCAGAAGCAGCATTTGAAAACAAGCTGTTTAAGTTAATCTTTTCAAGAGATGCAGATTGCATAACTCTACGCATGAACAAACATGCTGGCAATCTTCTCCTTTTACACAACAGCTGTGTTTAACATAGGAGGTTCTGGGTTTAAAGAAAGCCACTTGAAGAATTAAGATTTGCAATTCCCTGTCTAACTTAATGAGATTAGTAGAGAAACGAAAAAAAATTACTACTGAAATAGTAGTTTCTCAGTGGATCCCTATCATTACAAACACAGCTGGATTTGTAAGCAATGCAGGACTAAACAGACAGCTATTACTTTATATTATTACTATGCTCATAAGTTACATCTGTTAAAGTTAAAAAAAGCCAAGCAATTTCACCCTATTTCAAGGATAGTTTCCAATCAACACCAGTTTACATGGTGAATGGGACTTCACGAATAAACAAGGAATGGTGACATCTTTGGGTCAAGAATGACAAGAAATAATGGGCTCTGTGCTACCAATCAACCTCAACAAGAATATGGCACATGGGCCAGCCCAAGCTGTACCAACACTGAACCTTTAGCACTCAGCACAAATTCGGATCTCTTCACTTTAGCTACCAAACCAGGTGAAAAGGCTGGGTCAAAAACCCAAAAAACCAAAAACCTAACTAAAAACTTAAGCCAAAAGTTGGAATATACTTTTAAAAAAACATCATAGTTTTAAAATAATTTGATGCTGCCATCAGCTTGTGCAAACTAAAAAGGAAAAACCTCACTGAATTTCTCTCCAACAAAAGACAAATCTTGCAATTATTTTCCTTTTAGCCCACTGTACCTTAAGATACAATCTCAGAAAATCTAACAGATGTAAATGAAAGAGAGAAGTTACAGCATCTGCACAACATTCTTTCTACAAACAGCTGCTGGAGGGAAAGTAAAATATAAAAGGAATAAAGAAAGTAAAGTTCCATCTGAAATATTCTCACAATCTCTCCCATTTTGTAGTCCATGAATCCGACTCTGATGCTAAGGTGACAGTGTATGTAAGCAGATTTTTTTGTTGATTTTATTACATTGGAGTTTCAATTGAAGAGAACCTGAGAAGAGACTAGAGCCTCTTCAGGAATTGTCGGATGGAACGTGCTCCTCGAAGCCTTCGCTCTCCCGGACCAAGGCTCTTTCCAGGATAACGCGGCCTTCCTTGTAGCGCTGGCTGTCTTCAGTGGCAAACTCATAGATCCAGCCCAGTTTGCTGTTGCAGTTCTTGCAGCTCACGTCCCGCACCATGTGGCGGCCGGTGAGCATGACCCGATCCTGAACTTCACTGTACTGCAGATTGACCACCTGGGACAAACACACAGCGCACAGGGAACACAGAGGATTAGTCTGCCAAGGGGAAACCTGCTAAAGCACTAGTGGCTTAGAAGGGAAGAGCCCATGGCACCGCACACAAACTGAAAATGCAGTGTAAAAAATCTCCTTCCTGAGAGGGTAACACATTAAAGATGTGCTTCACAACAATGTAAAACCCTACATTTTAAATGAGAGACATGGATTACTATCACAAAATATGCTGTGTTCAACTCTGGGCGAGACTCTCCCAGTGAACAGCTTGTAAATTTGTATTAATCCAGTTGTAATGTATGCAAACCCATTTCTAGCAGCTGATGTAATCACCAAGTCCCAGAACTCAGAAACAAAATATTAAAAGAGATACTTCCTTAAAAATCTTGTGGTGCTTTTGAAATAATTACCTAAGAAAAAGCCAGGGTCAGTGGCTGAGAACGTAGACACAAAACATGCACCTTTTTGTGTGCTATATCAACATTTTAAATATACTTTTAACTTCTTTTGCAGCATCACCACAAAATCGGGATGTTTACTTCATTGAAAAACTGCTGATATGCAGATTCTAAAAGATGGGACAATACTAATTTCTCAGCTTTGCACCTGACCAGTTCAAATGTACAGCTTCTGACTGCAGAAATGCAAAAACTCAAAGTGTACTTAAACCCCGCTATTTAACATTAAAAAAATTTGAACTCCAGGATCCAGAGTTTATTGGATGAGGAAGAAATCTCTCACTACTGATAAGATTTGGGAGAAGTCCCAGAGCAAAACATAGTTAAGACACTACTGATGTCTCAATCAACTCTGCCCATGGCCAAACGGCTTGTAAGAAAAAGCAAAACTAAAATACACCAAGCATTATATGACCAGGAACTCTACAAGAAAGCAAAGGACAATTATAATTTTTTTCAATTAATCTAATGGACAAGTCTTTATGCAAGGTTAATAAATAATCCTACAGTTCACTAAAAAATTATAACTTCTGTATTTTGATCTATTGAATCGGATCAATTGAAAACTCTTAAATGAAACCAGAGTATTATTGCCTGTAAAAAAGATTGTGATAGACTGGCAACTTAAGTTGCCAGACTACAATTAAATTAAATGCGTTTCAGAAATTAAACAAAATATTATCTAGACTTTTTTTTAACTGCATAAAAGGGAAAAAACCTTTGGAACCCTTTGACAGACACCAGATACTCTCAGAGTGAATTTGAGGTACATATTACAGAAGTCTCTGAAGTTAAAACTCCATAAATTTTGGCCTGGTGCCTCTATATACCCAGTTTTCTTTATAGTCTTTCAGTATTTCAGACAAAAATAATGTAGCTAAGTTTCCCATCAACAGTAAATGTCAAATTTGACTTCAAAGACAAAAATTTTTAAAAAAATTAAAACAGAAATTACACAACACTTTAGCAAAGAAGTTTTTTTGATCTTATGACAGATTCATATCCCACAAACTAATTTTTCAAAAGTAAATAGCAGTTCTTCCAGCTTACCAACCTTGTTAAAAAGAAAGGCTCTTCCTGTGGCCCCTGTGAAGCGAGTGGAGATGAGCTCGGAGCGGTTGGTCAGGATTGTGTCGCAGTTTGCACAGGAGAACAGGCGAGTGCCACCAATATGATCCAAAAAAATTCTTCCCATTTTTAGAACTTATGGAAGTTTATACTCAATACCTGAAAGCAAAAAAACACATCATATTAAAAAAGCATTAGAGCAAAAAAATTGAAACTCCGAACATCCCATATATGTGGCAGAGTATTCTTCAAACCAATTCAGCTAATGATGGCTCAAAGTTGTTCCTCTGTTGGTGAATTGCTGAACTTACAGTCTGCCTCTCATCAAGACAAGTTATTTCCCAAAGTGACCATTTTACCAATAAGATGACTTAAATACAAACTAATTACATTAAATGGGAAAAACACAAACTGAAACCTTTAAAATACAGTTCAGGCTTTTGCAGACCCCCTACTAGCCCCTGCAGTTCCTAAACTCAGAAACTGACACTTCCTTTAACACAATACTGAAATTCTATTTCAGTACATTCCCAACAACTCACTCATCTTAGTCAGCACTAAGAAATGAAACACTGAGAATTACACTGAGTCACCAAGACAATTATAGCTTAATTTTCCCAAGTCACCCCCACTTTTTATAATACATATTTATTATGTCATTTCCCCATTGCACAATTTATGACACATGATCACACAACACCACCACTCAGAATGTTGGTATAGCACCCTCGTTGCTGTATTTGACTTGACACTTCTTTATTTCATATACACACCAACACAGGAAAGGTTTGGATGCTATTTCACATAATAAACAATACACCCAGTCTTTACACCAGACAGTTTTACATACAAATGTTTAAAGTTGTCTAATCCAAATACAAAATACTGTGCCATTTATCCAAGGTATTTCCAAAGCCTCATGACTAAAATACCTCAGCAACTCCAACGAGAAAAAAAAACAGTTTAAAAACTTTACAGCAGATGACTTGCACTGCCTGATAAATCAGCCTCTTCACTGCTTAGGAGAATTAAAATGCCTCACCAACTTCACACTAACTAACATAAATTACTCAAAGTTAACTAGTGAGTAGGCACAGAACGTATAGCCAGCAACTTAAATCACAAAGGATAATATAACATGACAAAGGAATTGAATTATGATGTTATTTCCCTTTCAACTGCAGAAGTTTTAAGACTAAACTTCTATAGTTAAACAAGTTAAATGTACCTCCATTTATGCTTCAGTTGTGGAATCAGAAAAGTGCATTGTCTCTGCTTTTGTCACGCAGAGCAATGGAAAGTAAATCTGAAACACTGCAATATTAGAATTGTGTGGGTTTTACTTTTCAGAGCAGGAGACTGTGCCGTTCATAGAGACGTCAACCAAATTTCGTGCTCATCTAATTGAATACTCTAAGTAAAACACTGTTAAGAAGCACAAATACCTAATTTAAACTCATTTCAAGTTTTAGGGGATCAGTTTCTTAAAGCCTACTCTTGACATGCACAAAACAAAAGGACTAAAACTTGCACCTACAAACACGGAGCTTAACACACCATTTTTACATCTAAAAATCAGAAATCACTAACATAATGATTTTTTTTCCAATTGCTTTATTTCACACTTTGTTTTCTTACAATGTGAGGCAACAAAAAAGGTTCCTAATATTGAACAGAAATATTTTAGCTCAGGTTCCTTACATTCAGATTTTTCAAATCACTATTAATCTTCTGCATCCCATCTGAAGGATACATAAAAATTAAAAGCAATGTCACGACTCTTCCTTTTAAAGGTGATATAATACCCATTTTTCTTTTTCAAAGGATAAATAAAACAGGTCTGAGTGTTAGAGGTGCGATTCCACTCAAAATACAGAAAGCATTTTCACTTAAGATTTCTCTGAGCTTTATACCTTTCTAATATGCCTTTATCTTTCCCAGCAACCAAAGGAAAAAAAAAAAAAAAAGAATAGTGACAGAATGAAGGAAAATCAAGAGACAATAAGTGTGAATAAACAAGTACCAGTAAAAGTCTCCAGCCAGAAGAAACCACAAATACAAGCAACTAAGGCAATGGTAAAATATATGCCCATAAGGCACTTGGCCTAGGCCCATGTGGCATTCTTCCTAATTTTGGATAATGTTATATTTGTGCTGATTGTATTGTGGATTCAAAACCATTAACTGATTGTAAGTTACAGTAAATGTGGAATCAGCATCCAAAGGGGTATTTATTTCAGAGTAAACACAATGCCCACCCTGTCAGTACTTTTAGAAGGTAACATAAATCCAAACCCGCCCCTATCTCACCAAGAGCAACACAAACACAGAGCTTGTTGTCCAGAACAGATCCTTTACACAGACTGACCCTGCACAGCCTGACATTTTGAAAAATGCACCTAAAGCTTCAAATGCAAGTGCATCACCTGCCTAAAATCATAATTCATGTCAGTGCCCTCAGAAAAGCAGTAGTCCAGAGACGTTAACAATGGAAATTAAATACTTCAGAAGGGAGCACAATTCTAGTGCAATTCTAACATGCAAGTTAGAAGTCACAGCAACATTCAAATGTATTTCTTCTGGATACGGCATTACGGCATGGACTGAAGTCTTGAGTCCCAAAGATCTCAAAAGTTAAAATAAATGAATAAATAAATATATTCAAAGACGTAAAGCTGAAAAATCTACCTACTAATACAAGGCCTAAAATCCTCACATATTTATGTCACCTTAAAGAGCTGAAAGTAACCTAAAGTTACAGCAGAATCTAATAAACCAACCGGTACCAGAACACATTTTTCAGAACACAGTGCATAAGGAAATCTATATTCTTGAAATAATACACATTCAAAAAATTTAGAAAATTAAACTATACAGTCAGCACTGTAACAGTCAAAACAATGTAGATTTTTTGTACATTTTCTTAAGAAACTACTAAAATACTGTAAGGTTACCAGTGTCTAACTTTTTCAAAGTAACCTCTACACTTAACTACCACCTGGTAGACTTCAGTCAACATACATAGCAGGCTACAGCTACCTCTGACCTCAGGTTTGATTGTTGAATTTAATGAATTTGTGAGGGCCCAGCTCAAGCACTATAAAACTACTCACCTTACATTAGTCTTTATGTTACTGCTCACAGCAGTATAAAGTAGGGAAAAATTACAAAACGACTGCTAACAATGCAGACTTAAAATGCCACACTTTATAATGGATTTTCTAAAATACCTAACATGGAAATTCTGCTTTTTTTCCTCTCCTGTAAAATAGAGAAACTGATTTCAATTTGGAATAATTTCACGGTTTCTGCTTCCTTTTTCTTCCCCCAAGCTAAAAACATAGCATTCACTTATAAGACCAAGCAGAAGGTACTTGCTATGGATAAAGACTCTTCTCTCCTTATGTAAGGATGCTGAATCCTGTAGGGTATACTTAGTGCACACAGGAAAAAAACAGAAGCACAACAGAACAAGGGGAAAGCAATTTTCCATTGCTCTCAGGCTCCTGTCCCTTACAAACAGAAGTGTTGTGTACAAAGTCAGCCAAGTTAACTCTGCAGGCTTTTTTCCCTATAGTTTCACTACCAATGGGAAAGGTGCGGGCGTCTATTTATGTTCACACATGCATAAATGATCTGAAAAAGCCACTTATAGGCTTTTGATAGGCAGTGGGAGGGCTCTCTCAAATGAGGAGAAGCCAAAGAATTGTGAAACACAAAAGCATTTCTAAAGCTTAAGATCTTCCAAACAGGGGAAGGAAAATATAATAAGTGCACTTGGCCATTCATCCACTACTCACACTAGAAAACACAAAAAATAACTTCCACTGGTCCAGAGAACCAGTCAGGTTCCCTAATACTACTTACAGCTCCAGAAAGTGACACTACCCCACAAATTCCTTCATGCTACCAGCAGTATTTTCAGAAGTAGTGGACCAGGATCTTGGTTATTCATAAAACTAAATGCTGAGGAAAAAACAGATGTTTTTTTGGCCTATGATTTCACTTTTAAAATCAGCTAAGCATTCTTTCCTGGGTATGTATCAGTGAAGAAGTTCTAGTGCTCTTGCTTTCATGCAAATTACCAAACACAAGTGATTAGATTAATTGAATGGCTGCAATGTAAGAAAGGTAGATTTATTTACTTTCCTTAATTGGATATTAAATATCTATTGCTTGTCCAATCTCCCCAGGTCCAAGAGAGGAGTACTTCATGAACTGAGAGATGATGACACTTCCATTACTCAGTAACCAGGCCACCTTCCTGAGAGGACCTTTAGGAGAGCAATCAATGACAACTCATATTACCTAGCAGGTCAGGCTTGCTGACACTGCATGATTTTGACAGTACATTATTCTGACAGCATAAACCTTGATACCACTTCACCATCTCTGTGAAAGGCTTCCTCCCTGCATGCTTCTCCCAGTGAGTACACGGACAGACACAAAACACAGGCACTGAGTGCTATAATATGTATGCCCAGAGCAGTAGCTCCCAAACTCCCCAAACACATTCAGTGTTGATTTCAGCAATACTGAGCAACAACCATATCAAAGGGCTGATATTCAATAGGTTAAATACCACCTGAAGCACCACTTGGTTGGATTTGTATTACCTTATCTGCCTACCTGCACCATCAATAAAGAATGAAAAAGTAACACAAAGAATTATTTATTAACATCTTTAAAACTAACAGTCAGTGTTTTCTTGTCCTGGAATGCATCTCTTGAAGACACAGGACCGTCAACACTTGGGAGAGCCAGCAAGCACTTTCTCTATACACACTGGACTTGGATATTTCACAGGAGGAGCCTCAGCGTTGCTTCAGCACCATCTACTGCGTTCACATCTACAACAGAGAACAGCTGCTAGTTAAAGGACAAAGAACTTTGACCGCCTCTCTTGCACTATTTTACCAACTAAAAACATTTTCCTTTGTGAGCAAATAAGCATTCTCTACCCTCTGAGAAAGGGTCTAAGCACACCAAAACATTCTCAAGATGTACTTACCCTAAAACCAGGCTGAAACTTCATCATGGCACCTCAGGAACTGGGCTTCAGCTTCCTCTTCCTATCTCAGGGATGGACAAAAGAGAAGAGAGAATTCTTAGCACACCTGCACAAGACAAAACATTAAAGAATCATAAAGGAAAAAATAAAAAAATACAACTTAGTCCTTACCTTCCCAGGTTTCCCTGCTCACAGGTGGGGGCACATCCAAAAATACACACGTGGTCAGTCTCTTAGGAGGTCGGAGATCCAAACTCCACCATCAACTTCTGTGACTGTCCGAGTAAACAAGGCCTGGCCTCTGCCTACATGCAGAATTGAAACCACCACATGTAGGCAAATGTGGAGAGAAACTGAACTGGACCAGCATACTGTGATCTTTAGAACCATCTAACTATTGTAGCAAACTGTGAAGGGAACTTAATACAGTCCAATGAGAGAAGAGGCTTTGGCAAAGCCCAGATGCAGGGCACAGCGCCCACCAACAACAAGCTGCCTTGCAGGATGAAAACACCCTTGTGCAAGTTGCAGCAGTGTAATTTTGTATTGCAGGTTGCAGTAGATCATTTCCTATTGCAAGCTGCAATTTTTCCCGGGTAAGGCAAGAACTGGGACACTGCCACTTAAATTTGTTTATGTCATATTGGTGCACTCAAACACTAATCTAGCATACTTTGTTTCACATTTACAGAGAACAGAGGCACACAGATGGGTGCTTGTTTCTCATACAGCCCTCCTATCTCAGCATCTCCCACAGAGTAACTTAAACACTCACAATGCTCCTGCTAGATAACATATAAAAGTATTAGTTTACAAATGGTATCAGACTCAGATTAATTTTCTTTTCCACCACTACACAGAATCCAAAACCAGCTAGAACTGCTTCCCTGCTTCCTTTTCCCTTCATTTTCTTCCTTTCCCCTTCCTAATTACTCCACTGTTTTTAAGAAAGCTGTATTTCCTTATTTTGTAATACATTTAATCTTATACTACTTAAGCAGTTGAGACAACTTTTGTCTATGAATCCATTCTGCAACTTTCAGAAAGCTAAACTACACATCTTCTGTTTTCATTAAGTGCTGAAATGATACAAAACTTCATCCAAAGACATCACTGATTTCATGAGTCATTAAAAATGAAATCCCATAAACAGCCTTTTAAGAAATGGTGTAAAGACAACCATCATCCAAACCAGCGACATCCAGCTGGCAGAAAGGGTGCTAATACACTAAGTGCACATCACCAAGAGATTTTTCTATTAACTAGAAAGGTCCTAAAGGTAGGTAAAGGCTCCAAAGTTAGAGATCACCTTGCTAACAAAAATCCACTGTGTACAGGCATTTCGTCTTCACATTTAACAAGTAATTTTTAATTTAAATCTTGCTTAAGGGAATTACGTATTTCAGTGAGAGCTGAGCAACCAAGATTGCAACAGAGGTCAAATGTTGGTAAACAAACATGAACCAATGACCTGACTTGGACAACATCCCTTCAAGCCTGTGATGATTACTATGTTAAATTCAGATATATAAATATGTGTTCAGCGCTCAGTGTGTAACAAATAAAAAATACAGCCTGTTCTTGTCATCTTCTCTGCTGGGCTTTGAGATGCAGTTTCATTTGTCCTTACACACTTGGCAGCCACATTTGAAACTCACTCGTCATTATTAAAATCTATATACAAACAGTAAGTCCTGCATCTCTAAGTAATTCTGTAACTATGGAAGTGAAAGTAGCAGATGACAGAAGCCTCCACACAGTATTTTTAAAGACTACTTTAGAAGAAGTGAGCAGCACTTAAAAACTGACAGTTTTGTTTGTCACACACGCGATTTGAATTCAGCCATCCAGAAAGAGGCTCAATATAAAAATACATATAGGATTTTATATATAGCAGTTACATACGGTCACGTGAGGGAATATTTACAACTGGAGAGCAAGTTCCCTTCCTTTCAGTCATAAACATTAGTTAAGATAATGGTTCATCCAGAGCCATTAGTTGCTGACATCAAGAGCTGTTCTGTGATACCACTTTAGAAAGAGCCCTGCCCTGTTTCGCTCTCATAAGACCATGTGTACTTGCTTTGTTATTCCCTCAATCTAACCCTAAACCCGTGTTTATTGTTTAAAGAAACCAAGGACAAATAATTTATTAAATTCTACGGCCATATCAGTCCACAGCAGGGCCTTTATTATTAAACAAACACGCTGGATTAATCTAATCTACATCTGCTTGCACAGTACAGCTGAGGGCTGTGCAGAGAGCAACAAATGAAGCAGACAGAAGACGGTCTTCACATTCATTTTTGCTTTGACTTAGAACCTTTCCCAAAGCGCAAAAGCGCCGGCAGAGTATTTCAGCTCCCTGGGAATCCATACTTCCGCGGGGAAAACCCCAGCCTAAGCGCTAGCAGGCAAACGAGCCAGCCGCGAGCACGTCCACAAAGCACACAAGCACCACGGCCGGGCCGGTGACAGCTCCCGCGGGAGGCGCCGGTCCGGCGGGGGCGCGGGGCCGCTCCGCCGGCCGGCGCTCAGCAAGCGGCACCTCCGCCCGCGGAGAAGGGCGATGTGTCAGGCGGCGCCGCCACCCCCAGCGCCACGGGGCAGGGCGGCCGAACCCCCGCGGAACCTCCGCAGCGGGAACCGCGGGCGGCGCTGCGGGGGCGCCGGTGCCGAGCCCGGTGTCGGTGCCGAGCCCGGCGCCGGTGCCGCGCACACACAAAGCCGCGCGCGCGCGGGGGCGGGGCCCGGCCCGGCCCGGCCCGCGCGCCGTCACGGGGGCGCGCGCAGCCAACCGGGGCCGGCCCGGCTCGTCCCGTGCCCCCGCCCCCGCCGCCGCCGGGCGCTGCCGGGAGCGCAGGAGCCCTGACAACAAACAGCAGGAAACAGCTGACGGGGAGGCAACGCCGCCGCCTCCGCCGCACCGAGGGGCCGTGCCCGGGGCCCACCGCCGACCCCCGTCCCCGAGCCGCCCCCGCTCCCGGGCACGGCCCCGCGCCCACCCGCCCGGGGCTCCGCACAAGAACCGGCCCGAAAAGTTGCCCGGTGCCGGGCCGGGGGAGGAAGTTGTGTCGGCGGCGACGGGGAGGGGGTGCTCGGTGCCGGCCCCCGCCGGGAAGGCTGGGCGGCGCTGGGAGACGCTGACGGAGAAGGGGACGCGGTGGGGGAAGGCCGGTGCTTCGTGGCGGCGCCGGTAACGCACCGGGTCAGGCAGGGCCGACCGCTGCCCCCCTCCGCGCCCGTCGCCGGAGCGGAGCGGCTCGCCCGGGGCTCCGCCGCGGCCCGACAGACAGCGCCGCGGCGCGGCGGCCGCCACCTCCCTCCCCTGCCGCCCCGGGCTCCCCGGGTAGCGCGGGGCGAGCGCGGCCCCCGCCCGGTTACCTGGCTGCGGGAGCGGCGCTGGCGGCGGCTCCGTGCCCGGTGTCGGCCCCGGCGCTCCGGCTCGGCCGCGCGGCTCCGCCCCGCCGCGGCCCCGCCCCGCCGGTCAATCAGGCGGCGAGGCCCCGCCCCGCCCCCGCGCTGCCGCCGAGGCTCCGCCCCGCCCCGGGTCGCCTCACGGCCGCGCCCGGCGGGGCACGCCGGGTCACGGAATCGCGGAATCGCGGAAGGGCAGAATTGTAGAGTTGCAGAATGACAGAATCATCGAGGTGGGAAGAGACTTTTAATGTCATCTAGTCTGATCGCCCACCTGGCACTACCACGGTAACCCCTAAATCGCTACACTACACCACCCAGCGCCATGTCCAGAAGCCTCCTGAACACCTTCAGGGATAGTGACCTATTCCAATGCCTCACCACCCTAACAATGACAATTTTTTCTGTCCAATCCGTATCTCTGCTATCTCAGTTTAAGGCCATTTCCTCTGGTCCTGTCACTGCAGACAGGTCAGAGAAGCCCGGCCCCCACCTCCCTACAGCATCCCCTCAGGTAACCCCAGCTCCCTCAGCCATTGCTCACAAGATGCGTTTTCTACACCCTTCACGAGCCTTGTTGCCCTTTGCTGGCCACACTTAGGCACCTCAATGTCCCTTCTAAAATGAGAGGCTCGGAACTGAGCACAGTACTGCCACCAGTGCTGAGGACAGGGCCAGGGCAGTGCTCGGTGCTGCAGCCCAGCTGTTGGGGGGGCTGGAGGCAGGGCCAGAGCTGGAGATGGAGCCAGGTCTGGAGCCAGTGCCAGAGCCAAAGCTGGAGCCTTATGGCAGTGCTCAGCCCTTCCCCACCTGCCAAGTTCCATTTCCCAGGCACCTGTCAGCCACTGCCCTGAGCCTGGTGCCTTCCACTCTCCCTCTACCAGCCTCCCAGACCCCCCTGCCTCCCTCACAGCCTGGCAGAAATTCCCACTCCTAGGGGAGATGAATGCCAGTGCCACCCAACACCTCCCTACACTCCAAGAGCACATTGCATAGGCCTGGATGGGAGGAAGGGGAGTCCTGTCTCCAGGCGCCTGCATTCTTAGGGATTTGGCCTGCCCTGGCTGTGAACTTCACTACTCTATGGGGCCTGTGAGGGCTGGAGGTGTAGAAAGGCACAGAAATGGCTTTTGGTGACATTTCCCCCTCAGTGAAGCTGTGACTTATGCTGTTTGCAGACTTTCAGGGCATTCACATTGAAATCTTGGTGGGATACCTTAAACACTGCCCACTGTAGAGATAAAAGATCAGAGGAGAATAAGGCAAAATGTGGCAGTTCTTGGCCATTGTTTGCAAGAGCTGTCAGTTCCCTGCCAGTTTTAAGTGCTCACACACTGCCTTCTTGGCAAATAATGGTGTTGGACAAAATAGAATGAAAAAAAATCCTTTTGAATTGTTGGTTATAAAAAAGAGATGCAAAAAGGCATTCTTTCCTTCTATGGGGCAAGCCATGCCATTTTGAGGATGTGTGTTCTGGAGAAAGTATTTTCACTCCTGGGTCTATCCATGTGGGATCACCAGAGGAACTGCAGTAATGGCAGGAAGGAATGAGTCAGCAGGGTTCTTTTGTAATTTCACACAGAGGCAGAGGGACATCTCTGTGAATGTACAGCACACAGCACCTGCTTACACACCCAGCTGTTCTTCAGCCTGTGTCTTTCTTTTGCATGGATTCTTTCATAAAAAGAAATGACGAGGCAGAAGAGAACACAACAGCCTGTGTGAGGGTAGATAGCTAGTGACAGGTCAACATCAATGTGCTAAGAGCTGCTGTTTGCTTTGGACAGGCCTCCAGAAAATCAGATCTCTTCTGTATGGTCAGCTCTGGCCTGATCCTGAGCAGAGCTGAGCACTGACATTTCTCACTGGCCTCTCATCAGCCTCTCTTTAGATCCTGGAAGGGGAGTGAAAGGTTTTAGAGCAGTCCATCAGACAGCAATCACTTAGTTAATGGCACAGGGACAGCAGAAGTACTGAGAATATTAGAAGGAAGCCATAAAGCTGTGCCTGGGGTCCCATTTACCACCAGCAAATGGAGGAAATAACTGATCCAACATGCCCTCTTTGTTAACAGGCTGACCTGATCTGCTGCTGTTCCTTGCTGGGCTTGCACGAGCTGTGTCCCTGGTGGATCTGCTTCATCTCGTCATAGGAGCTATACAAAGGTCCATGTCTTACTCATCTCTGCACAGCTCCCATGGAGATCACCATAAACAAAGCCAAAACAGCAGAAAGAGAGTCAAACAGTGGTGCTTTAGTCAGCACTGGGTCTTATCTGTGGCCCTGTGAGCTCCCTGCTCAGCTCTGCTGCTGAGGCACCCGCACATCCCAGGGCAAGCTGGTTCTTCCTGCCTCGTTTTCCCTCTGGAGAAAGAAGGGGCAGAGCAATGCTCCCTGCTTTACTGGGGGGTTGCAGGCTTGCTTAAGTACCCTTCTCCAGTCTGGGCATATGTAGGGGTTGTATGTCTGAATATTTCAATCATCACAATAAATATTACCACGAAAACAAAGCAAAGCCCAAACCTATGAACAGAATTAATTTCTCAATAATAACAAGGGTAGCTGTACCAATCAGAGAGAAACCAAATTGACCATGAGACAAGCAGAGAATGGATTAGCCTGTACTTGACAGATGGTGCCAGGGACTGATGTTTTTATTTCCCTCACAGAGGAGCTTAGAGGAAGGGGGGGTAGGGGAGGGTGAGGTAGGGCACGTTTAATAGAACAAAGCAGCAGGCTGTAGCAGCTCTGCTGAAAAACGCTAAAAATACCAAAAGCAATTTCCAATTAGCCTGTAAGGGACATGCTACGTGTCAGCTACAGGGTGAAAAACAGGATCAGCAATATTGTACCACATGGCACTTTTAATTTTCAAAGCAGCCTGAAACATTAATTAATTCTCCTCTGACATAGGGAAATGCAGTGCAGTCAGCAGTTTGCTCCTTTACTTCTTATGCCAGGTTTTGGGATGACCCTAGGCCTTTTCCACAGCTGATTCATATCACAATACCTCAAATTACTCTGGAGGAGCCAGTCTTCTCTGCAGCACTTCTGAGCAAAAAAGGCTATGTTAGATCTGGAACTTAACGAACTTAACGAACCAGAGAAAGGAGAGATGTTCACACCCAACCCATCTTTAATATTTGCCCCATCTAAAGCCATTTCTCAATGCTGTGAGCAACTTTATAGGAAGTATTTCAGAGATAATTGGAAAGTGAGGAATTAATCACAATCTCAGACAGAACTGTGTAGTGAAACTCAACGACCAACATATTAATCTAATAAAAGCCTGTGACAAAACTTCAATGGAATTCAGCAGGACCTGGTTACACCCCACTGAATGAGTGTCAGGGCTTGGGGGCTGCTTGTGTATGTCTTCTTCCTTTAAAAAGAAAAACAGCTCAGTAATTTTTGTTCCTGCTCCTTCTCCAGAACCACTAATAATCTTTTGGTACACTTGTGGATTCCTGTGTGGCATAGTCTAGCCTACCAAACCAGGCATGCCTGAGGTGGGACAATGATGCAGTGGGATTTTCCATTGCTGTTCCTTCCATGCCCAGGATTTCTGTCAGCAGAGAGGAGGCAGCTGAAATACAGAGCCAGGCTTACAGGCTGTGATCTCTCTGGGAGACAGCGTGACTCCTCACTGCCCCCCCTGTGCCTTCTCAGCTTTGCCTCACATCAAAGGCTGGGTTCATCCCACGAGCTGCTCTTGTTATTTGGCAGTGGCTACTGATAGCCTGCTCTTTTCAGAGGAGATGGTGCAGGCAGCAGCTTCATTCTCATAAGGTAAGCCTACAGACACACAAAAAAATAATTGTCTTTAATTTGATATCACAAGCAGACTCTTACTGCTTTTGGCTCAACTGAAAGCTGACACAGGCACAAGTCCTACTTACAGATACTTTTTCAGATGTTGTATTTTTTGCCAGGGGAAATGATTTCTACAGTTAATCTCAACATCAAAAGATGAAGGTCAGTGATGAAGCAGTTCCTCCGCACCCTCTCCATGATGACAGAGCTGGTCTCATTACCCTGTCACCATGCCTAGTAGCTGTTGGCCAGATTTTAAAAGGTGTTTAAGTTAAAAACCCCAAAAGACCCAGGAGCCATATCAGAGAAAGCACGTAATGCCTGAAGAGGGACTTTGAATTTCCACGCCATTATTAAGACATCAGGAATGGAGTCAGTAAGCAGGCCTGGTGCCAGGGAATGCAGGATGGTATCCTGCAGGAACAAGCAGCCCGGACATAGAGCACCCAAAGCCAGGCACTGTTGCAGCAACCCTCACTGCCATGCCCAGCAAAGAAAGCCAAGTTGCTAAGTAGGATGGATGGTGACACAAAGACACCACAGTGGGGCAAGGATCTTGAAGGGTTTTTCATTGCTAAGCCTTCTCTTTTTTGTCCTCCACAGTGAAGGAGTTACTGAAATTAGGAGGATTTTCAGGTTTAAGTCTTCTAGTCCTGTCTCCCAAATCCTGTCCAGTGGCAATGCTCTGCAAGATCACATATGTTATCACTTTCCTGTGGGGGAGATTTTGTCTGGTGTGCAACTCATGGATGACAGCCATCTGATTATGCCACTTCCTCCACACAAGGGCTTGGATTGATGCACATGTGTTTGAGTGAAGATGTCATGGGGTGGTGACCCACTGACCCAGCTGATGCAATGAGCCACCTGCCAACTCCCCTGTGTTTTATAGGAGGTGATTTCAAGGGAGCTGGTATCCTCATCTGAGAAAGTAAAAACCATTCCATTGTCACAGAAAAACATCACAACAGCTCTCTACCAGGAGATAAACAGTTCAGGAGAGAGCAGCTACTCCAACCCACGTGGACTTCATCAGACAGTCTGGGCTGTCCCTATTGTTTGTGAGCACTGGGTGAGTACAAAGACAGATTGGACTAGAAAGGGCCCCATGCAGAGACATTCAGAGCCTGTACAGAACAGGACACTTTAATGTCTGCACTGGATTGCTGGGTTTTTTATATAATTAGAGGAATCTACTAACTTGGGAATGCATAAATGTACACACACCTGAGGCCCAGATGAATTCCCATAACTGTTTTGTTT